TCCATTGTCCTCTCAGGATTTTGGGGCGCGTGCGCCCGCACACACACACACACACACACACACACACACTTGATTTTCAGGTCACTGGATCTGGGACTCAAACCGCAGTTGGTCATGTGGGAATCCAGCTGCCTTCACCACTGCGCCACCTGCTGGCGCCACTTCATTCTTTCCTACAGTCTCATTTCTTTTTCTAGGCCATCTTTTTGAAAGTTTAGAAAACTTTGGTGACTTTTGTATATTTTAGTTGTTGCTTTGTCTTGCCTTTGACAAACAAAACAAAACAAAACAAAACAAAACAGAAATAAACACAGCAGCCCATCCCTTATTTGGATACTATGCATTTCTGCTTGTACGTGCTCAGACCAGCCCTTGGAGGGTGTATGGACCAGATTGTGGGCCGGATGGTGGCGCAGCAGTAAACGCGGCGCGCTGTGAGGCCAACCCGCATGGGGAAGTTCTGGGTTTGCCCCTGTGACCTCCCTGGGTAAGTCGGGCACACATATGCCCAGGACCTGGGGCTGCTTGAAGCTAGGGTGGATGGCAGTGTCAGGACCCTGGGGTCGGGGGTCGGGGGGCGCTTCTATTTCCTGCTCATGGAATAAATAAATAAACTTTAAAAACAACAGAAAAAGAACCCTAAGACATTCAGTGGTCACCTCCGGGAAGAATGCTGGGGATATGGGATCGAGCAGGCAGTAGGGAGACACACTTTAATTTCATAGCATTTTGCATGATGTGAATTTTTACTCTCTGCCTGTTAATTTTTAAAGGAATGTTTTTTAGAAGTAAAAATAATTATTTGACATAGAAGGGATCATTAATTTTTCTTTCTTTTTTTTGGGAGGGAGTAGGTTTCTGGGTCTGTGTAGGATATAGGCTTAAATATAAACTTGCTGGGTAGGGATTCCAGGGCTTGCTTCCTGCACTCTGCCCTGGGGCTAGGTAAGCAGACCCACCCTGATTTCTGAGATAATTCGAGGTAAAGGAGAGGCCAGAGCCCACGCACAGGCATGGCCGTGCAGGCGTTATCATTTGTGAACAGCTTCTTAAGGGGACTGAAAACACACGGGTAGAAATGCTGAGGACAGAGTGACCTCGACATTAAACTCACAAACATGTTCCTTTTGGGACGGCTTCCGGCGAGATGGTCACAGCCCAGGCTTCCACTCCCAGGCGGGCTGGAGTCAGCTGCCTCCCGCTGGAGCTGTTTTTCAACTGTAAAAGGCTATGGGCAGTGGGAGAAGCCATGCCTGTGCTCCTTCCTAGCCAGTGCAGACCCGGCACAGGTTTGGAAACTCGGCCCGGCCGCAGGGATGCGCACCGGCCTGCCCTTCCACGGCCTTTCACGTGCCGCAGCAGCCTTTGCGCCCCGGGCCCTGCGCTGTTCAGCATGAGATTGGCCTGGAAAATGGCAGCAAGAGCCGCTGGTAGTGTTGGAAGTTTCCAAAACAAATCCCACGTTAGAGCTGGGGATGGGACCTGCACACCAGGGGATTATGGGCCCCAGGGGGGACCCCGAGGGAGCTTCGCTCAAAGTAAACACGCTGGCACGGCCTCTGGAAAGGCAGGCCTGTCCCCACAACAGCCAGGCAGCTTCTTGGAAGGTCTGTGGCTTGCTGTGCAGGGAGAGGGCTCCCGGGAGGGGCAGGGTGAGAGCTGGCGCAGAAGCACCAGCCTGGCCCTCCTCCGGCCCAGGCAGGCCTGCACTGGCGTGGTCATCTGACCCTCTGCGTTCAGCTTCCAGCAGCTTCTCCTTTTCAGGTGGCCACAATTGGTATTTACAAAGCCTCCGTTGCCAAGGCTACCGTTTACCACATGACTGTCAGAAGAGAAAAATACAAATAATCCTCTCAACACCTAAGTGACAAATATGTAAACGATTGCAGGCCAGGTCCCCAAAGTGTACTGGACAGACAGCGGGCTGCAGGGGTGGAGTATCTTTGGAGATCTGCATCTCCCAGCACCCAGCACTGCCCTCCCCTCCTGGGGATGTGGTTTAAAAACCATAAAAGCCCCATAGCTTAATGGGTAAGGCACTGGTCTCCTAAGCCAGGGCTTGTGGGTTCTGGTCCCACCTGGGGTAAAGTGGTTTGGCCACTTGAAGGCTGGGTTGATCTAGGAGCACGATTATTAAGCACTGCACAGAAGGGGCTGGATCCTATGCAGCTGGCTAGGATTTGAGTCCTGGCCCTGACAGTATGGAAAATGTGCCAGGCGGGCATGCCCATTACCAAGGTCCTGATGGGATCGGGAACGGGGCAGAAAAGGACTGTGGACTAACCAGGCCCGTTACGAGGTTCTCTCTCTCTCTCTTAAACACATGCCTTCAGCGTGAAAGGTTTCTCCTAAAGGCCCCCCACACTGGCCCACATCATCTTATCAGCTCCCGTTCTCTTCTGCTAACCCGGTCTTCCTCCTCTCCATGACTCTGGGTGTCTTACGACTCAGACTCGAGATCGATGGCGAGCCGCGTGGGTTCTCCCCCTTTCACCTTGGACAGTTAAAGTAGAAGCTTAAGCTTTCCTCAGGAGGACTTAGTTTAAACCTCAGCCGGTCTCTGTGGACTACGAAAGGTGGTCCGTGGGAGGTGAGCCAGGAGGGCCCAGCCGTAGGGCACCAGCAGGGTCGATGGGCCCACGGGAAAGGACCCGCGTCTGCGTCCTGGGACCCCCGAGGGGCTGGGGCTGCGGATCCTGGGGTGAAGACCCTTGCTGGGAAGGCTTACCTCTGCCTCTTTCTCCGTGTGTATCTGTCTCAGGGAAGAAATCAACAATAAAAATAAATGAACAACAACAGCAAAGACATAGGGACAGTAGATGGCATGGAGGTTAAACTGGCTGCGTCCCACATAGCCGACTGCACAGTTCGAGTTCTGGACCAGGAGGCTTGAAAATCACACTGGGGGGACCAGCAGTTAGCGTAATGGCTTTGTGGCTGGACTCCCACGTAGTCGACCGCGGTTCGCGTCCCGGACCCGGTGGCTTGAAACTCACTTATGCTGGGCGCATGTGCGTGCGTGCCCAAGATCGCGAGAGGAGAACGGAGGAGAAGGGATTGCCGCGTGGCCATCCCCCCGGGGGGTGATTTCTCACTTTTTGTCTCTCTGTCTGTCTGGCGAGCGCACGCGCCCTATAGCAAAAACCTCTCCAAAAAAAAAAAAGAAAAGAAAATCACACTGGGCCCGTAGGTGTGTATGCCCAGAATCCTGAGGAGAAATGGAGGAGAAGGGGTTATGGCGTGGCCATCCCCAGGGGGTGATTTCTCACTTTCTCCGTCTCCGCCGAGTACATGTGGCTTATAGCAATAAATAATAAATAACTAACTAAATAAAAAATATATACACACACAAATTAGAGTTAAAATGATTCTTGGTGTAGGAGAAAGAATCGGAGCTTTGGGGGATCCAGAGCTGACTCAGAATCTGGCTCCTAGCTGTACCCCGTAACAGCTGCAAGCCTTTCTGGCAATATTCTAAGCTCCGAGCTCCCGTCTCTCCGTCTGGAAGACGGGTTTAGTGTCCGCGGCAGGTCCCTCTGTGGGACCTGAGGGCTTGCACGTGTGCACCTGCTGAGCGCTGTTTATGCATTAGTCTCTGCTCTCCTTGGCCCGTTTCCCGTGAGTGCAGAGTGAGTCAAGACGGTGGGGCCTGTGAGCAAGACGGGGCTGAAGGTGAAAGAGGAAGTTGCACTCATTTGGGCAAAACCATCATTTCCTTAAAGCCCACAGCCCACGGCCCTTAACTAGGTCACTGCAAAGAACCCCAGGACGTGGGTTCTCAGAGAGTGGCGTGACCTGGTGACAACTCTCCGCAGACCGTGCCTGGAGTTGTCTGTCTCTTCGTGGTCATGCTCCTCAGGGGCTCACGTTATTATTTTTAAAATTTGCTGGAGGGCATATGCACTTACCAGGAGACAGAGGAGAGGGAGAAAGCTCCCCACAGGGCGTGGCCACGTGCACCTTCCCCTCCGTTTCTCCATCCTGTTGAATCCCACCGTGTAATGTCCTTTGCTATATTTTGAGGAAGTTCGCAAAGGGCCAAGTGGACTTGAATCATATTGGAAATGTCCCCTTTTCTGATTATTAGCCTAGCTGAGGGTGTTTCCTTTCCAGTTTCGTATTTTTTGATGATGGTAAAATATACAAAGGATAAAACATACCATTTTAACCGTTAAAAAATTGATGACAGCACACTTGTCAAGTGAGAGTAGGGTGGGGGAGGACGGAGCAGCGTCCCCGGGGCCTGGGAGTGCCATGATCATCTTCTGCCTTCTCGGGATCTCCTCTCCTGGGGCCTCAGCTCGTGTCGGTGGGATTGTGTACTGTTGGCCACACTGCCTCCTGGCCCATTTGTTTTTTATTCTAATAAATAATTCTTTAAAAAATAAATGTAGGAGGCCAACAGACTGGCATAGTGGTTATGGCACTGGACTCCCATGTGGCCAACTGCTGTTCGAGTCCTTGACCTGGCAGTTTGAAAATCATGCTGGCACACGTGCGTGCATCCCCAACACCCCAGGAGAATGGAGAAGGGATTGTGGCATGGCTGTCCCCCCAGGGGTGATTTCTCATGTTTCCTCTCTCTGTCTCTGCTGAGTACAGGCCCCCATGGCAAAAACCTAAAAATAAAGAGGTTCTACCCTAATCTCCACCCACCCACTACTTCCCAGAGAATGTATTTGTGTAAGAGGTCGGCAGGAGCTGGGCAGTGGTGCAGTGGAAATGCACCTGGACCCCTTGGGAAGGTCACAGGTTCGCGTCCTGGGGTTTCCCTGTGCTTAGTGCGCACACTCATTTGTGTCCCTGGTTGGGTGAGGCCTGACAGTGGCGTGCAGACCCTGCTGGGTGGTATCTACCTTTCTATTTCTCTGTCTCTCATGGGAGCAATAAATAAAATAAACTTAAAAAAAAAATTGGTGTTAGTAGAGAGGAGAGCCCGCTCTTGCCAACTGTTTGGGGCTCTTCGATCCGAAGTAACCTCCCGGCCTTCCTCCGTGTAGGTGGTACCCCTTGAAGTCCAAGCCAGGAAAGAAGGAGAAGGAGCGAGGCGAGATCGAGATCGACGTCCAGTTCATGAGGAACAACATGACGGCCAGCATGTTTGACCTCTCCGTGAAAGACAAGTCTCGGAACCCCTTCGGCAAGCTCAAGGACCGGGTCAAGGGGAAGAGTAAGGATAGTGCTTCCGACACCGCCTCGGCCATCGTCCCCAGCACGACGCCCTCGGTTGACAGTGACGATGAGTCGTCTTCGAGAGACAAGAAGAAGAAGTCCAAGATCAAGACCTTGTTTTCCAGGTCCAACCTGCAGAAGACGCCGCTCTCCCAGTCCTTGTCCGTCCTGCCCACTTCAAGGTCGGACAAGGTGCTGCTTCGTCCTGGCGACTTCCAGTCCCAGTGGGAGGACGACGACAATGAGGACGAGTCCTCCTCCACCTCGGACGGTGGGTCCTGCCTTCTCTCGGCCTCTCTCCTCTCCTTAGCCTGTTTTGCTTTCAGAGGGAAGAAAGGTTTTAATTTCGCTTCTCAAGTTACTGAAATGATGGAGGTGGGGATGCTGGTGGTGATGGTGGTGGTGGTGGTCCTGGTGGTGCTGGTGGTGGTGGTGGTCCTGGTCCTGGTGGTCCTGGTGGTCCTGGTGGTGCTGGTGGTCCTGGTGGTCCTGGTGGTCCTGGTGGTGCTGGTGGTCCTGGTGGTCCTGGTGGTCCTGGTGGTGCTGGTGGTCCTGGTGGTCCTGGTGGTCCTGGTGGTGCTGGTGGTCCTGGTGGTCCTGGTGGTCGTGGTGGTGGTGGTGCTGGTGGTGGTGGTGGTGGTCCTGATGGTGGTGGTCCTGGTCCTGGTGGTCCTGGTGGTGGTGCTGGTGGCAGATAATCTTGGTTGAGATGCCTTCTCTGTTTCTAAGCCCTTCGGTTTCTCAGAATTTTCTGGACTTCTGGCTCTGTAGCCGATGAACATGAGTGCAGGCTTCTGGGGGACAGAAACGTACATGTCCCCATTTTATTGCTCTTGCTTTTTTGGGGGAGAGGTTTTTGCTATAGGGCACGTGCGCTCTCCAGAGAGACAGAGAGACAGAGAGCGAGAAATCACCCCCCAGGCGGGATGGTCACGCCACAATCCCTTCTCCTCCATTCTCCTCTCAAGATCTTGGGCACGCACACACACGCGCCCGGAGTGAGTTTAAGCCACTGGGTCCGGGACTCGAACCACAGTCGGCTACATGGGAGTCCAGCGACATAGCCATTATGCCAACTGCTGGTTCCTGCTGTTGACTTTTTAAGGGTAAAATGATGGAACCTTACTATATTCTGATACTTTTTTATTTCATTGCCAGAGGGCACATGTACTCCGGAGGGAGAGAGAGAAAGGGCCCTTCCATGGGGCGTGGGCACGCACAGCTCCTTCTCCATCCCATCGGGTTTGGAACACACTTGCACGTGTACCTGACATGTTTTCCAGCTGCCGGGGCTGAGATTCAAACTACAGTCGTCCGCATGGGATCCAGTTCCC